CTCTACTCTATGGCGTCATGTGATTTTATTGGTTAGGATCGTGCTTGAGAACGTGCTGAATATTCTCTATCATGCTCAATGTGCTCCGAAGGTAATATTCAGCACGAACCTTTTTTTTGTGCGCAAACGTTCGCGAATGTTCTCGAAAGCACAATCAGAACGTTCCCTTGTTCACATCACTATTTATAGCTGTAAGGAAAGTGAAAAAGGTCTCTTTCTAACACATTGTTTCTTATGGCAAAAACCAAAATATTTTTTTTCTCGAAAACTGTTAGAGATAAACCAATCGAAATTGGTATCATTGAAATCAGCAAAAGTAGAGCTTTCACATGAGTTATTAATATAGAGGGTATCCCATTGAAAAAAATCGGACTTTGGTCGGTATCTCGAAATCGGGGCCCAATGGAAAAAAACTGAGAACGTCACTAATTTCTACTTGAAAAAGTGCTTCTAGAAAGTTGCTAAGGAAATCATTTATTTTCATAAACAAAAAAGTTTTGAAGGTTTCGCAGTATTACTCAAAATCGAGAAATGCCCTCTAGCGACTAAACGGTTGAAGATATCAAAATGCGGTTTGCACCAATTAAGATTACATGAAATTTGAGCCTCGGAGTGGGGTGTGCATTTTTTTGTATCTAGCTCAGAAACTGACGTTTCCTATTAAAACCATCCAAATTTGGACACCCTGTACATCAAAAAAATGCGAAAAGCCCCAAATGATGTTAAGAAGCTATGAAGCTATATTCTTCAAAATTCTCTAAAATTCTCCAAAATTCTCCAATGCTACCGAAATAAATTCTCGAGAATTTTGCCATCTCTACAGTGTTGCCAATCGGCGAAGAATTCTCCGTTTTTCGGAGAATTTTGGGGTCTGCGGAGAATTTTGCGGAGATTCGCTTTCTGCGGAGATATTTTTTTTATCAATATTTACAAAAAAATTAAAATTTATTCAAAATTTCAGCTAAAAAAAAAATTCAAGAAGATATTTGGGATATACCTTGCGTTTGGTATTTTGCTCAAAGAGCAGAGCATGCTGAGCGTAGCCGTAATCACGTGACCAGCGAGCGAACAGAGCAGTTAAACGCTGTATCAGAGTGCCAGAAATTTTATTAAACAAACGCAAATGAGCCTGCACCAAGTACAATTTTTATATAAACGAATGGTAAATTCAAGCTCAGAGAACACAGATCAAAATACCGAACGCACAGTCAGTGATTCGGAACAAAAAAGTGACTTATTGGACATAAATGACATGACATACCATAGCTTCGTTCAAACCTCAATGGTTCCAACCCAGCAGAGGGAACAGGGAACCGTACATTTCACCGTCAGGATTCTGCGTAAAACGTAAAAAGTGTGCAGAGAATCCGAGATTCGCTTACAGTGTGGTTGCAAAACCGTTCTAGAGACGTTTTTTTGGCGGATTGAAACAGACCTCATAACGTCCATCCATTAAATTTAAAATTATTGAATTTCATGAAAATGAATAAATAGTTAATGGGGCACGTAAGGCCAACGAGTAACGACAATCAAACGGTTCGACTATTTCTCAAGAAACACGAAAATTATCGTTTTGTTCCAACACAGCAGGAAACCGTACACTGCACCGACACGATTCTGCGCAAAGCACAAAATTTATGTGTAGAATCTGAAATTCATATACAGAGTGGTTTCAGAATCGTTCATGGGATGGTTTTTGGCTTGTTGGAACAGACCTTATAAAAGCGCAGAATTTCAGCAAAATGCGGAGAATTTTATTGGTCAAGGAATAATACAGCTACGCGTGGCGGCGGAGTGCTGCTGGCATTCAACAAGAAAATGTCCTATGAAATTATAGACTCCAAGGGCTGTGATACTGAATGTGTTATTGTAAAATTGAGGTATAGGAAAATTACTTATTATGTGTCTGTAGTTTATTTTCAACCTAATTCTAAGTTAAACTTGTACATTGAATATTTTAATCTATTTGAAAATATCTTAAATGAACTAAACCATGTTATAATTTTAGGAGATTTCAATTTGCCATTTTACATGAGCTGTGATAATGATAAGAGTATTTTATTGCACGAGTTTCTAAGCTTTAACAATCTAGTTCAATATAATGATATTAAAAATTCTAGGGGCAGGTACCTGGATCTACTGATATCCAACTTTAGTCTGGGAGATTTGCATAGGGTTGAAAATACGTTAGTTCCCGAGGACCCCTACCATCCGGCAATTGAATTTCACATCCCTCTAAAACACTCAACGTATGCCAAAGATACAATAAAGAAACAGTATTCATATGACTACAGAAAAGGTAACTTTCTCTTGCTATATCAGTTGGTAAAAGATTGCAATTGGTCCGATCTCATTGAATGTGTAAATGTTAATGACTGCCTTGATCTGTTCTATAAAATGATGTATTCTATTTTTGATCAAGCCATACCAAGGCATGTGGTAAGAGAAACTGCACATGAACCCAAATATCCATGCTGGTTTTCTCTTGACTTGGTGCGTAAAATAAGAAATAAAAATAAATTACACAAACTTATACAAAAAAATAAAGCAAATTCTGTGCAAAAAAATCTGTACAATGCACTGAGAAAAGAAACAAAACATCAAATAAAAAGTGAAGAAAAATTGCACAGACAAAGTATTGAAGCAAACATTATTCAAGATCCTAACGCTTTCTGGCATTTTATACGCTCCAAGTCAAAACCAAGCGGATTGCCGGGGGAAATGCGGTTCGAGGGCTCAGCGTACAGCACTCCTGGAGACATTGCGAATGCTTTTGCACAGTTCTTTAAATCTGTTTTCCAGGTCTCAGATATTCCTGGCAGCTACAAGGCAGCCACGGATGCATCTCTATTCAGTCTACCTCCTGTAACTGAGTTTGATGTTCTTGATGCGATTAAAAAACTAAAACCTAAAAAGTCAACAGGCCCAGACAACATACCTGCCTATATATACAAGGGTCTTGCCGATTTTATGATGAAACCTCTGGCACATATTTTCAATCTTTCCATCACAAGTACACAATTTCCTGAAGCATTTAAAACAGCTCTGGTTACACCCATTCATAAAAACGGTAATGTGAATGAAATCAGCAATTACAGACCAATAAGCTTAATCAACGTAATAGCAAAGATATTTGAACAAATCCTATGTACCAAATTAACAAGCGCTCTAAAGCCAAAAATTTCTAAATTTCAGCATGGTTTTGTGACTGATAAAACTACTGTTTCAAACCTTTGTGTGCTATCTGAACGTGCTTCTGAGGCAATAAAAAATAAAAAACAATTAGACGTCATCTATACCGACTGTGAGAAAGCCTTTGACAAGGTCGATCATGGGCTGCTTCTGGATCGACTAGTTTCTATGGGAATATCATACTCCACCTTTATGTTCCTAAAATCATATCTGCTGAATTGGGTTCTGATGGTAAAGATAGGCAAGACTACCTCAAGCAAGTACGTGGCCACCTCAGGAGTGCCTCAGGGTAGCACCTTAGGCCCACTGTTGTTTGCTTTGTTCATTAACCCCCTCCCTGGCTGCCTTACTGAGTCATCGGGACTGCTTTTTGCGGATGATTTCAAATTTTTCAAGGAAATATCTTCACCTCAGGATTGCTTCTTGCTCCAGGGGGATGTGGATGATGTCAATTGTTGGTTTAGGGAGAACAAAATGTCATTAAATGTGAAAAAGTGCTCAGTCATGACTTTCTCACGAAAAAACAACATTATTGGGTATGACTATGCTATTAATGGGGTCAATTTAGAACGAAAGAGTGAAATCAAAGATTTGGGAGTTGTCTTTCGGAGCGATGTGAGATTCAATTCCCATTTTATTGGAATGGTCAATAGGGCTTATAAATCTTTGGGATTCATTATCAGAAATGGAAAGTCCTTTGAGTTGGGAACGATTGTTAGACTTTATCATGCTCTAGTGAGACCACATCTAGAATATGCTGCCCAGGTTTGGATGCCCACAGCCCACACGCATGTGGACCATATAGAAAAAGTTCAAAAGAGGTTCTTGAGATACCTTTACGTCAGGAAAAATAACATATATCCTTATATGGTTTCATATAGAAGCATGCTTGAGGGCTTTGGGTTTCAGAGTTTGCAGGATAGAAGAGATAAACAGGCTGTGATATTTGTATTCTACCTTCTGAATTATATAAAGTATAAAGACTGTGATTTAACTAAATATATACACATTAACGTTCCTAAAATTAATTTAAGAAACTTAAACTACGAGCTTTTTAGTGTAGATCTAGTCAGTACATCACCCATAAATACAATGTTATTAATATGCAATAGAGTACTCGCCCGAGTCAACATAGATATATTTTTCACAAGTATCAGAGAATTACAGATGATATAAGTAAATCCTAGTGCTGTGAATGTCTGTTTGTTTAGTTTAATTTTGGTCTAGTATAGTATAGTTTTTTTTTTTTCTTGTTAAGTTGTTTTTAACCATTACCTATAATTACCTCATCGGTGTTTGTAATGTGAACCATAAATAAAAAAAAAAAAAAAAATTTGGGTGCGAAGGATTGGCAACACTGCATCTCTATTTGTATCTATGTAGTTGGCGCCTAAACTTGGTCCAGAGTCTTTGCTTGCTAGCATTCAAAATAATTCACAAGAAATTCCATGGAATTTCTGATGAATTCCATCGGATTCTAGTAGAGTAGGATACCGTGAGATTTTAGTGGGATTTTCGGGGATATTTCGTTTGAAAGTGGGATTATGGTGACTACATTTTTCAAGGTGGTTTACAGTTTAGGCTTTACCCTTGTAGCATAATAATATTGCATTATTATTACAAAATGTTTTCAGTAATTGATCAGAGTAGTTTTTTTTTTGCTAATTATGATTATTATATTATAAATAAACTAAAAACTTTCCATTATGTTCTGGTAACCTATATATGAATGTTTAAGCTATATACAACAATATCGAAATCAGTTACGAATTAAAGCTTAAAAATACCAATTAAATACATATAATTACCTGCAAAACCACTTCGACTTCATAAGAATTCCCTTTGCTTTTCTGAAATCCTTGAAATTTCGATCCATTATACAACAAACTGTTCGTTATTCCGGGCTGTTTCGAATTAGCCGGAGGCGGCAGAGTGGGATCCACCCTTACCGGCATTTTTCGCACCGAATTTTCAAAGTTTATCAAAGAATTCCGGCGGATTTCCACTGGAAAATTTATCGCCTTTCTATTTCAGCAAAATTTCTAGAATGACAAACGCAAAAAAATGACCTACTCAAATGACGTGTTGTTTTGACATTTGATCTGTCACACAACAGTCATAGCCACACAAGGATAATACAGTTCCATAGAATAGCTTATCTTCTTAAAGCCTGTGTGGATCAAATCTCAAGCGTTTCTCTCAAGCATCTCACCATGCCAAAGAACCAGTGATGACGTTTCAGCGTGTCGTTTTTTTTTTGCCCTATGCTTACTTGATTTTAGTAAATTATATAACATTTTAAAACAACACTTTTTTAGATCTCGTTTGCAATCATCTTCCTCTTTGTCTATTATGTTAATCAAAATTGAATAATATTTTTCATCATAAATGTATATTCTAAACTACGACCCAAGGTTCCTACACTTCAAGTATGCACGAGCTGCTTTCGGGTGCTACCCTTTGAGCGCTCCCGAGTTACTTCGAAGTACTCCCGTTCGGTTTCAAGCGTTCGAGTGCAAAACGCATAGGTCACTGACAGGTGTGAAGTGTTCTAGGAGCACCCGAAAGCGGCTCATATTATATTATTATATATATTATATATATCATATTATTTATATTATTATATATATATATATATCATATTATTTTTTTAGTTGTATTTCTTTCAAGAGTTTGAAACACTCGAGCTACTCGCTCCGGTGTTAGTCGCCCCCGATTTAAAAGATGCATGGTGCAACGTAAACACTTTTCGAAGGAAATAAGCGCGTAACGCCCCGGAGCTGTTCCGGAGCAACTCCTAGGTATGAAAAAAATACAACATACAACTATTGAGAGGCCGGCCCTCTGTATTGACGGGTCCCTGCGATTTTTCAAAAAACAAATAGTTTTGTGAAATCCTCGTATTAACATGTTCAGTTCAAATTATGTCCTTGGCAGAACACTAAATTTTTAATTTTTAGTTACAGATCTTTGCTCGCGGTTCAACTAGAATTGGTTCTGGATCGATTATCTGGAATGTAATCTGCGAACAAAGCTCTTTAAATAAAAAACAGACCTAATTGATGATTCGGAACTATTCTCATACACAGTTCAATGGTTCAAAAAATATCATTTAGAGAAATCACAAAACAATCAGAGTGAATTGGTTATTGAAACTAGTTTTCTGACTGTTTCTGACTATTTTTAACCAATGACTGCTTTGTGATTACTTTAGAAACAGACCTTAATTACTTTTTTGCTGAAAGTTTAACTGGGCTGGGACCCCAGTAGAATAATTCTACTTTCATGACGTCAGGTTGTCTAGCAACCGGTACTGTACGCGATAAATAAGTCGCAGGTGACGTCATGAAAGTAGAATTATTTTACTTGTCGTGATCCCAGCCCGAATCCATTATGATCTAGTTCTATCCAATGACATCAAAACACAGTGTGTTTTGATGTCATTGGTTCTATCGGTTCCAAGGAGAGAGCAAGAACGAATAAGTTCGAGACAAGTTGTGAATCTGTTTCGAAATCATTTAACAAAGCTAATTTTCATTGCGGAAAGGTTCCAAACAGAGATAAATAATAACTCTATAAACTGAGGCGTTTTCTCGCAACCACTTCTTTGAAACTGGTTCAAAACTGTTTTGAAACAGTGCATTCTCGCATTAAACCCATGACGTCACGTCAAAATTGGTTCAATCCGTTTCGAAATACAATCCAATCCACGTTTTCAAACCATTTTCTTGCTCCGAGAAATTATGACGTCATAGTGACATTACTTAAACCAGTTTTGAAAAATGTTTTCAAACATTTGAGACGCGAGAAAACGCCTCTGGTTCCAGAACTATTCTCATGCGCATGAGCAGCTTGAGATTCACTAATAGCGTATTTCATTGGTAGAGTCAGTAAAACACTCCCACTGACACCGTTCTCGTGTTTTAAAAAAACTGCACGCGTGCAGTCCCAATACTCCTAATGAAACCAAAGATGATACACACAGGATAGCCTATCCTCATAAAGCATGTGTGGAACAGATCCTCCCCTTGTGACGTAGACAACATGTTATTTCTTGCCTTGATGTAGGCTGTTTAAGCAGCTGACGACTTAGCTATGACGTCGGAAATGATGACACACCAATTATGGCGGCGATTACCAAAAACGAGGCCGATAAGCAATCCTGGGGGGAGATTCTGAAATCACGATTCGACACACGGCTCGATAACGAGACGCAGCTCGATACCGGCCCTGTCGTCTCGAAAGGTATGATTCCAATGAGATTCTAACCTAGGAGTGCGTTCGAAATCGCCCTAGTGGTACACACCAGCTATGAATTATTCATGGCTGGTGTGCACTCGGTGTGACGCTCAGGGTGATTTCGAACGCACTCCAAGATTGTCGGAAAAATCGTCTCGTTATCGAGTCGAGTCGTGTGTCGAATCGTGATTTTAGAATCTTTGGTCTGTAGGTGTGTATCATCTTGCAATGAAACATCATCGTACTGTATCAAGGTTGTTTGAGAGAGGAAGGTTAGGTTGCCTGATAACTTTATGACGTCATCTGGGCTGCGTCTATATTATGCAAATCTCCATTGGGCACCCCAAATGCGTCATCAAGTTACCCATTACCAGACAACCTATTAACTTTAGGAACTTTGGTACTACAACATCCTATATACGTCAAACGTCATTAAAAAGATTACTTTTGTGGTGCTAATTATAAATTATTATAATTTAATTTAAATAAGAAGTTCTTCCCGCTTTGAAAAATAAAATTTGGTTCTGTTTTTTTAAGAAAAAACAACCAACAATAACCTCAATTTCAACAACAAGGCCGATAAGAGCCTTTTAGCCGATAGCGCACCAACAGCACTCAGTGCAAAAATCAGTGCATTAAAAAAAAATACGTTCGCAATGAAATACAAAAGGGCAGCGCGGACTCTGACAATGGATCACGAAATTAATGATAATTAAATGTAATTTTTTGTATTGCTTATTTGCAATCGATACGCAATACAGTCTTAAAACAAGTCACTATTTTCGTAAAACGCAATAGTCCTTTTCACGTGGCTCCGGTTTAAACTAACCGAGTTACAAAACAGTTAGTAGCAGTATGTCAAGTATGACATACCGTTTTCTAACCCGCTTACAAAATGACGTGATCGATACCACCTGAATTTGAGCGGTATGTTGCGATTTGTTAAACCGGAGCCACGTGAAAAGGGTTAATAATTGTAGGAACCTTGCTACGACCGATGGCGCAAACAGCTGACGACGTAGTTGATGACGCCATCAATGGTGCTATACCAATATGGCCGCGATTCCCATAGACGAGGCTGATAAGCAACCGATTATTTTCGAATATATGACTATTTTCGATAATTCGATTAATAAAATATTTACGAATAAATCGATTACCTATTTTTTTAAAATAATTTTTGGTTTTGTTTTTGCATATCTAAGGGTCGGTTTATTCACCTTTTGATAAACTGTCAGGTATGCAATCTGACGGATAAAAACGCATTCTGTAATTCCATGGATCAGCCGACCGATAGAATTATAGAAGAATAGTTTATCTTGCAGATAGTTGCCAACCAGCAAGTCTATCTAACCGGGCCTTAAACTTCAAAGTAACCAGAAACCCTTTTCACGTGGCTCCGGTTTAACAAACCGCAACATACCGCTCATATTCGAGTGGTATCGATCACATCACTTTGTAACCGGGTTAGAAAACGGTATTTCATTTCTCTAACCGTTTTTTAACCCGGTTAGTTTAAACCGGAGCCACGTGAAAAGGATTAGAGACTAGAGAGTTTATTTTAAAACAAGCTCAATTTACATATCGTATAATTAATGTCATACGTTCAGGTATATGAAAAACTATAGGTAAGTATATTGTTATCGTCTACAGATATTACATAACATTCACGCTCGCATTTACGTATAGAGGTTTTCTCATTAGGCAATCGAATCCATCTGTCAAAGAGGAAAATTCAATATGGCGTGGCGGCCAAGCATGTCTGTTTTGAATATGTTTTCATGCGTATTTTAAATTATTTTGCTTGCAACTTTGATTTTGATTATTTAATAAAATATTTGTTGACTGGGTATCTAAAACTATTAAACATTATCCGTCGTTTTTAATCTGACATTTTCTGTATGAGGAGCGAGGGGGTGGAGTATATGGCGAAAACAGGTGTGATGTCAGGTGATCATTGGTGTTCTAATACAGGGTGCCACAACACAAGCTCACATTCCTTTCAAGTATCAGATTAAAATCGACAGACTTTATTAATAATATTTATGTAAAATTGATGTAATCTTTGTAATAAAGTTTACATTAATATAAATCATTTATATCAACTTGAGCATGATATATGCATTACATTTAACTTAAATTTGACAACACACAGTCTCAATAAAGACGTCCATTTCAGGTCTGTATTATGTCTGAACGTCTGAAGATCAAAAAAAGACGTTTAGAAGACATTATTTTTATTTGAGACATCTCGTTAAAGACGTCGTTAGAATGTCTTATTATTCCTGAAGACGTCTTTATACAAACGTCTTAAAGACGTTAGATTGTGTATGTGTAACATACGACGTCTTCACGCAAACGTCTGAAAGACGTAGGGTTGTGTAACATAACAGCTTCTCGCCACTCCCGATACCGGGGCTTGTCGATATTTTTTTGCAACTTTTCAAATTGGAAGTTTCAGATAAATCCTGGTATTCTCAACCCAAAAACAAATTTCGTTTTAAAATTTTCAAACTTCGTCAAACAGCTTCAAATTTGATATTTCCATATTCGGAATGATCCAAAGATTTCAAAACTACTGAAAAAATACTAAGTTGCCATTTAGATTTATAATTATATTATAGACTTTCGTTGTAGATATAAGCAATATAAAGGGTGTTCCACCAGGAACCAAATCGATTTTTACATATTTACAATAATAGTTGGTTTTTAATGATATTGATTTAAAAAAACAACCTCATTAAATGTGTTAACGGTTATATTATTTTTGATAAATTATTATTAGTACAAAAGAAGAGACATCTGCACAAAAATCTCAAAAATATTTTGCACATGAAACCCTTAATAACTTTATTTACACTCAATTGTTTGACAATCACAGCGCATACAATAATTTATTAAAATATATTAATCCGATTTGTACTAATTTGAAAAATTTATTAAAGTTTTTTGGAGGGCAAATAACACCAATAGGAAAAAAATTAAACGATTTGTTCTAACTACAAAAATTACAAAACATTGGAACAACGAAAAACATTTAAAATTCTAATAAAATCTGGGACTTAGAAAATAAATAGATTTTCTACATTTTGAACAAATATTAACAATGAGGTACAACCTAAAATGATCCAGTACAGTATACTAGAAATAAAAACAAATTTGTGAAGTTGCTACTTTTATAGTGCATCATTCCAAATTCTCAACTCACTTTTAAACAACTTACAACTAATAATCAAAACAATTTAGTTCCAATATCCTAATTTCAGTAAACTGGTAAAGGCGTGTTGGACGTTAACTTCATTACCGGCAACACTTATTAAGTAATTACCAGAAATATATTCAGTTTCCGTGCGCCCCGCATTTTCCACTACGATTTCTGCGGTTTTGGCATTCCAACAAACAATGCCTTGGTCGTAGAAGCCTAAAACTACACCGTTTTCCACACAGACACCTTTTAATCTAGAGGAAAAATAATTTTTTGAGTGAGTGACAAAATATACATAAAATTATTACCTGTCATAAACAAGAGGTGGTTTATAACTAGCCAATCTCTTCCAAGAATGGTTCATGCTGTGTATAGCAATCAGTCTCAATTCCCTGTCCACGCATTGTTGCAATGTGAATAAAAATCCCTAAATTGAGAAATTAAGTTTATAAAATTAGTTTTGAAATAAATTATTGAGAATTTACCCTATCGCATTTGACCCATAGAGTGGCAAGTGGAGACTTTATTTCGGTCATTTCAATGGTAGCTGCCAAACGACCGCCTTCGATATTCCAAAGGGTGATTTTGTTTTCCCCACAGCCCATGATTAATGTGTCACAACCTGGAAGAAAAATTGCCATTGTCTAAATAATATAAGAAGAAAAATGATTTTTTTTGACATAGATAAGGAAGTTCAATATAAGAACAGTTTAAATTCATAAGCTCCTAATGTCTTGGTAGTTTAAATCTGCATTGACGTTAAAATTTGAAAATTTTCTTGGCTTTTGGGGCATGATCCCAGTTTAATATAATTGAACATGACATATTGGAGCGAAGCATCCATGGAAAACCGTAAAAACAGTGGAAGTAGATAAATTTTTCATAAGTTTTCTGGTATGTTTCAAATGTATGTATTTTTTTATAAGTAAATAAATAGTAAAGAGAACATATTCAATATTCCAAATATTGTAAAGAGGCTAAGTAAGCTTGAGTTGTTGGTCTAGAACCAAAACTCAAAGACAATAGAGAAAATTGTATAAAACTTAAACAGCGAATTGTTAAAATGCAGCAAACAAATCTAAATCATAACCTTCTTACTAAAACGATGAAATTTCAATTTTTTTTTGTCGAGATTTTGTATTCTAATGGTCAATCAACATCCCCCAAACTCCATCCACTAAGTTATTCTCAAATTTGAAGCCGAAATCTATGAAAAAAGGCACTCAGAAAAATTGAAAAATTGATAATTCACCCCAAATTGCTTAACACGATTTTATCTCAGGAACTATAAGTGCAAATTAGCTGAAATTTTCAGAGATTGTAGTCCTTTGAAAGGGATAAAATTCAGTGAAAATTTCAGCTTTCTATCCATAATAGAAAAAAAGTTTTGACCTTTCAAAGTTTTCCAAAATCTAAATCATAAGGTAGGTATCTTCTTACTAAAACGATAAAATTTCAATTTTTTTTTTGTCGAGATCTTGTGTCCTGATGGTCATTCAACATCCCCCAAACTCCATACACTAAATTATTCTCAGATTTGAAGCCGAAATCCATGAAAAAAGGCACTCAGAAAAATTGAAAAATTGATAAATCACCCCAAATTGCTTAACACGATTTTATCTCAGGAACTATAAATGCAAATAATCTGAAATTTTCAGGGATTGTGGTCCCTTGATTGGGATAAAATTCAGTGACAGTTTCAGCCTTCTATCTATAATAGAAAAAAAGTTATGACCTTTCAAAGTTTTCCAAAATCTAAATCATAAGGTAGGTACCTTCTTACTAAATAAAACGATGAAATTTCAATTTTTTTTGTCGAGATTTTGTATCCCAATGGTCAATCAACATTCCCCAAACTTCATACACTAAATTATTCTCAGATTTGAAGCTGAAATCTTTAAAAAAAGGCACTCAGAAAAATTGATAAATCACCCCAAATTGCTTAACACGATTTTATCTCAGGAACTATAAGTGCCAGAGTTCAAAGACAGACTCAAAGATATAACAATCCAAAGTGGTTCAAAAGTGATATTAAAATGTAGAGTAAAACAATGCGGGCCTAATTGTAGGCAAAGCTGGAACCCAACTTATGCATTCTAAGAAACGGTCGGTTTATGTTGGACAGTAACAATGACGGAGTGGCGATATTGAGCCTGGAGAATGCCAAACCTAACGATTTCGGAATCTACTCGTTTACAGTAACCAACGAGTTTTGTTCAGCAAGTTACACCTCGAGTTACACTTGCATTTTAACAATTTTAAGCAACAGTTCTCTAACACTTTTGTGCTAGAATGGGAAAACCCGCAAAATGAACAATTTTTGATTGAATATTGTAAGTTAGGCTCTGGAGAATGGACATCGTCTAATGCACCTATTAGTGGCAACAGCTTTACAATAGATAATTTAGTAGCAGGACAGACTTATAGTTTCCGTTTGGTGTCCTACCAAACGATGGCAGTGAGCCTTCCAACTTTGGCCGTAACATTGCCTGTGGCTGATACTTTATTATGGCAACAGGAACACTTTAAACGGAGATATATCGAGTTGGAGGAGATTAGTAGAGGCAAGTTTTCGGTGGTACGATTAGCGAAGGATAGAGGTAAGAATAATCAATGGAATTGATCTCTCGTGACTCTTTTTTTGGATTTAATTTTGTCTTCTCAGTGTTTTTGTTTCTATTATTTGCCCTTGACGTCCTCTGCCAGATTAAATTAATACCTCTAAAGATTCTAGAATGTTGAATTGGGTGGCCACATCATTCAAAAATAGATTTAGAATTGCAGAAATCTTCTATGAATATTGTTTTGCTAAAGTTCATCTGAAAGCAATTCTAGGTCTTCAGTTTCCTGTTGAATCCTGGTATTTTCTTTCTAGATTCTCACAAATTTCCAGTAGAAATATAACTAGTGCATAAAAAATTTCCTTCAGGAAATATTTTATGCACGTGTTATATTTTGATAGGAAATTGCCCGAGTTTGAAGTTTATTCATTATAGTCCAGGAGGTGGCGCCAAAAACATGCAAGAGTTTTCGCAAGGGGGATATTTTCAAAATAGGTCGTACTTTAGTGCTAGAATGCTAGTGTACAGTCAGCACTCACAGTTCCGGGACAGCTGGCTCTGGGACGCGGGCAAAGTTGTAATTTTAAGAAGCATTTAAACTGTTTTCTCAAAGCAAAAAATTTGTAGAAATTTTGCACATTATCTGTTTGAAGGTCACAGATAACGTATGTAAATCGTCAGACGTCTAGTTCGTTGCAAAAAGGGGGTCAGACGTCCTCAAAGTTTTTATTTTATGGCATTTTCTTCAAATATATTTGTCAAATACCTGCAAAAATATATTTTGACAGGACACCGAAGAAAATGCCATAAAATAAAAACTTTGAGGACGTCTGACCCCCTTTTTGCAACGAACTAGACGTCTGACGATTTACATACGTTATCTGTGACCTTCAAACAGATAATGTGCAAAATTTCTATAAATTTTGAGCTTTGAGAAAACAGTTTAGATGCTTCTTAAAATTACAACTTTGCCCGCGTCCCAGAGCCAGCTGTCCCGGAACTGTGAGTGCTGACTGTACACTAGCATTCTAGCACTAAAGTACGACCTATTTTGAAAATATCCGCCTTGCGAAAACTCTTGCATGTTTTTGACGCCAGCTCCCCAACTATTACACGTTGTGTCGAATATTTTAATTATGGTGATGTGTTCTGTGATGGTGATTGTTATTGATCTTTCCCATTTAAATTGTGTTTGTCAAAAATATACACTTTGACAGATTTCTGACATCAATGCGTTTTAAATGGAAAAGCTGGTCTCAATGCCAAAAATAACAACCTAAAGGTGGGTTTCCGACAGACGCCGCGCGGCATTGTCGCATTGGAAATGGCACCCGGAAATATCCCGCTCGCCAGGGATATTTCCACTTGTCAATTTTTGAAAATTACGAGGTAAATTTCCAGTTAAATATGCACAAGGGAAATTTCCAAATGAATTTCAGTTTTGCGAACCACTCTAGCTCAACTATGTCATAAATGTTCTAAAATCAAGGTTTTACTCTTCTTTAGTTCAATTTTTGGCATTATAGGAACACTGGGAATAGAAATTTAATGCTTTCCTAGTTCAAATTTCAGCTAGGAGATTAGGGAATTAGATTTTCAAAAATTTCTAATGGAATTTGTGCTCTGCGAACCACTCTAGCTCAGCTTCAATGTTCTAAAATCAAGAATTTGCTCTCTTCTCTAGTTGAATTTTTGACATTATATAGGCGTGCCGGGAATAGAAATTTAATGCTTTTCTAGTTCAAATTACAGCTAGAAGATTAGGAAATTAGATTTTTACAAATTTCCAATTAAATTTTAGCTCTGCGAATCACTGTAGCTCAGTTTTAACTGCTAAATATTCTAAAATTGGACAAAATGAAGGGATTCTTGCCATCAAATCTTGATGAAGATGATAGAGGCGTAGAGAAATAAATATTGATCAACTTTCTAATGAGAAGACACGAGACTACAATAGACATTGACGAACAACTTCAACGAAACAAAGAACATATAAATTTATGTGATTTTAGATCAAGCGAATATGAACTACACCATTTCAACCTCAATTTCGGAAAAAGTAACTTTTATTTAGGAAAATGTCAAGTCATTTCCGGAAAAACTCGAATCAATTTCAGAAAAAGTAATGGTAATTTCGGAAAAAGTAAAGTTAATTTCGGAAAAAGGAAATTCAAATTCGGAAAATGTAAATTAATTCATAGCTTACTTTTGCTGAATTTGAATTTACTTTTTCCGAATTTGAATTTACCTTTTCCGAAATTAACTTTACTTTTTCTGAAATTAATTTGACTTTTTCCAGAAATGACTTGACATTTTCCTAAATAAAAGTTACTTTTTCCGAAATTGATGTTGAAATGGTATAGAGTTCATTGAGTTATAACACAAATGATGTTCTGAACCAGCTTCAATTTTACAGGATATTTGGTCATTGCAAGTTTTCAGTACATATTTTCCCTTACACTTCACACATATCATTTCCATATTCTTTGAATCCACTTATAAGAACTCATTCCAAATATGAGGTGCAATTTGATATAAATGATTTAACATGCCAACTTTTCCAGATTAATTCTAACATTTATAATGAAATGTATGACTCAAATTCTAGGTACAAACGTCCAGGTGGCACTCAAGCAAATCACGAGACGAAAACAAGCACATAACATCAACCAAGCCGAATATGCCCTATTAGCCAGCATGGAACATCCAAATATAATCAGATCTCTGGCCTTATTCGACAATGCTCCAGTACCTGGAACTGACACTATAGTTTTAGAATTGTATCTTCGTTATATGAAACTAGCTGACCCGCCGAACCTCGTACCGCCTCTGAATTATTAAATAACTATTAAATGTTGTATTAACGTATGTATCTATTAGCTGAATTAAGTTCATTTTTTTTTCGATGGTGAATTTGGCTTTGGTTGAAGAAAATTAATGTTTACTCTCTGAATCAGAAGTCACCTAAAATTAAAATTTTACATCATCCTTTTTTAGGCAGCTTGTGGGCATTATTCTTGTAAAGTGTACCACCAAATAAATAAACTCAGGCACAGGAATGTTCAAAGAATGTAAAGAAAACAAAAAAAATCTCTAGCGCAGCCCTGTTTCACTCTATCTGCACTACTCTATCTGTTCTACTCTATCTGCACTACTCTATCTGATCTACTCTTTCTGCACCACTCTATCTGATCGGAATAGTGGAATAGTTCTGTTCGAAATAGCTCCAGTTCCTGAGCAGCATTGTTCTACTGTATCTGCCATGTCGAGCTTCGTTCCAGGTATCAGAGATGGCGCGGTATACAAAATACAAAATAAACTTGGTATCGGTTATAAGAGATGGCGCCGTATGCGGGCTTAGTACATTTTTTTCATAAATAAATAAAATAAGCAATGAAATGACCACATTAATCACATAACAACATGCTGGTACTGTCAACGCTGAAAAAAGTTTCAATTTGACAGCAAAATCCCCATTAACAAAATGATCCTCCATTTATTGAATAATTCATTATTACAAAAAATGTGATAAATGAAGAACCGCTCGACCGATTTTGTGCAAACTTCACATAAACCATCTAATAAATAGTCCGAACAAAGCCTAAACATTTGGTTTGGCTAGGTGAGCCCGTTCTTGAGTTATAAAATTACAACGAAAAGTGGCATTAATTTTTATATATGTAGATACAATATTAAGATTTTTATTTGTTTTTTTTTTTAGGGTAAAAGGGCCATTATTGTTCACTTATTTAGCCGAAAGAGGTGATTATTTAGAAGACGACGTCAAGTTGTACACAAGCCAACTTATTTCAGCCTTAGCCTGGCTTCACAGGAAAGACTTGGTACATTTGGACATTAAGCCTGAAAACGTAATGGCAGACACTTCATTTTCACCACCCCTATTAAAACTAGTAGACTTTGGTGACTCAGTAAACACATCTAAAAACGTCATCCTACCTCCTGCTTGTTTGGAGTTTGCCTCACCAGAATTCGTTTAGGTTTAGGTCAGCCTGTTGGTAAACATACAGATGTTTGGGCAGCAGGAGTTTTTCTCTATGTCCTTTTAAGTGGAAGTTTCGCTATTCTTGGACGATTCGATGGAAGAAACCACTGCTAATATTTTGGAATGCCACTATTGCTATCCAGACGAGTATTTTTGTAGCGTGTCTGATAATGCCAAGGAGTTTATTGGGAAGTTATTGGTATTGGTGCCTGGACAAAGAAAGGATATGGAAAAGGCTCTACATTTTCTTTGGATTAAAGAAGTAAAGTATTTATGTGATTATTATTGGAGTTTTGTTAATATTGCTATTTTTTCAGGAGAATTTATTATTTTCAACATATCCCCCAAATTCCATACAGTAAATTATTCTCAGATTTGAAGCCAAAATTTATGAAAAAAGGCACTCAGAAAAATTTAAAAATTGATAAATTACCCCAAATTGCTTAACACGATTTTATCTCGCAAAAGAGCTGAAATTTTCAGGGATTATAGTCCCTTTAGTGAGATCAGATTCAGGAAAAGTTTCAGCTTTCCATCTATAATAGAAAAAAAGTTATGACCTTTCAAAGTTTTCCAAAATCTAAATCATAAGGTAGGTACCTTCTTACTAAAACGATGAAATTTCAATTTTTTTTGTTGAGATCTCCATACACCAAGTTATTCCCAGATTCGAAGCCGAAATTTATGAAAAAAGGCAATGAGAAAAATTTAAAAATTGATAAATCACCCCAAATTGCGTTGTAAATAAGGCAATCGTGATGTCTAATGAATAATGAAAATTTTGATTCATTTCTAAACAACTCACTGAACTGAAGAATGAGATTAAAAATTCTGATAAAATTGTTTCAAAATATGAATTCAGATATAGAAAATTATGTAAGTACACGTAGATTGTGTGAAAAATATAGAGCAAAATCCAATAATAATTGAAGAACCACTGAACAAAATTTCAATTCAAACTCAAGTTTGAAGCTCAGTAACTTCATAACCGTATGAGCCATTGATATCAAATTTTACTCAATTTATGAAAAACTCAATGCTCTTTCAAAAAATATATGATTAGGGCCAATTTGCCTTGTTATAATTGCCAATATGAGCAATTATTCATATCTATGTCAAGATTTCAAAAAATTCAACAACCCAAAAATAGGATTTTCAAATTAACTTTTCCACAAAGAGAAAACTTCAATTTATAAATCCTGAAAGTTTCAAGTCACTGTGATCATTAGAAGTACTTTGCACAAGTGATTTTTGCAGATTTTAATCGTTTTTGCATGCATTAACGTAAGAAAAAGCTTCCAAATTTAGTTTCGAGCTTCAAATTAACTTTTCCACAAAGAGAAAACTTCAATTTATAAATCCTGAGAGTTTCAAGTTACTGTGATCATTAAAAGTATTTTGCATAAATGATTTTTGCAGATATTAATAATTTTTACATGCATCAACGTGAGAAAAAGCTTCCAAATTTAGTTTGGAGCTTCAAATTAACTTTTCCACGAAGAGAAAACTTCAATTCATAAATCCTGAAAGTTTCAAGTCACTGTGATCATTAGAAGTACTTTGCACATATGGTTTTTGCAGATTTTAATCATTTCTGCATGGATTAACGTAAGAAAAAGCTCCCAAATTTAGTTTGAAGCTTTAAATTACCTTCAAAGTAACTTTTCCAAAGAGAGGAAACTTCAATTTATAAATCCTAAAATTTTCAAGTCACTGCGATCATTATTCATTAGAAGTACTTTGCACAAGTGATTTTTGCAGATTTTAATCGATTTTGCATGCATTAACGTAAGAAAAAGCTTCCAAATCTAGTTTAAAGCTTAAAATCATCTTCAAATTGACTTTTCCATAAAGAGGAAATTTCAATTTATAAAACCTGTAAGTTTCAAGTCACTGTGATCATTAGAAGTATTTTGCATAAGTGATTTTTGCAGATTTTAATCTTTACTCATGAAATGTACTTTCTACTCATTAATCCAAAATTTCATTCATTTTCAGTGGAACTCTAGTGAAATTTTGTAGAATTCCAGTAGGATTTCGTGAGATTCCGTTAAAAGAAGGAAAATTGAGAAAAATTGGAAAAAAAGATCCATTTTTGAACATGTTCTTGTTACTATATAAATCTCTATGGATATCCTGGGCTGGAACTCTGTAACGGATAGCGATCAATATCTCTATCTCTATCTCTAGTGGCGTCCCCTCTCTATTGATTTCGATAAGAGAGAAGAAGATAGCAAATGCAATAGCGAGAGGGATAACGATCTCTATCCGTTACAGAGTTCCAGCTCTGGGATCTCTAGGCATATCATTGGATCTCCATGGATTTCCACTGATTTTCGTGTATCTCCTCTGGACCTTCATATACATACATTAGTAACTTTTAAATTGCATATGGAATCAACGCGTTTTTGCTGTCAGAAAGTGGTAGTTTGATATTAATAATTTAAAGTAAATCACACCTTTTTAGAGGAAGTAAGTCGACTATTATGAATGAATGGTATGTAATGCTAATAGTAGTAGATTATGTCACATGACAGAAAATAAATTATTACTATCAAAGGACTGTATCATAAACTCAGTATTACCTCTGAAGAAACAACATCTGAACATGAAATTAATGTTTTCATTCATTGTTGAAATGATGTGCGATTCTACACGACTGCAGCCAGTTCTTGGATCTCTACGTATCTCTAGTACTCTATCCGATCTCCACGGAACTCCATGAGATCTCTATCTTATAGGACAGAAGATTTTCACACTGACTACCCCTTTGGGGTATCCTCTTTGATTTTTATCTTCAAATTTTCGAGCCTCTATATCTCGAGGCCCATATGAGATATTGCGATGAAATTTTCAGGGATTAGAGCTCAACTTCATATTCAAAAAAGATTAATATAATTGACATTAATTGTTTTTGAAAAAATCGAGTTTGAAGTTTTCGAGCAAATTTCGGCTAAAACTCAATAACTGAATAACAGTAGGCCTTCTCGGAAATACTGATCCGATCATCAGCTGGTTGTCTTTTATCTTTCTTTAATGAATACGATTGAAAAAAGGCAAAGGATATCAGCTGGTGATCCGGTTAATCGGATCAGTGTTTCCGAAAACGCCTACTGAGAACCATTGATATCAAATTTAGTTCAATGTATTGAATGTATAGAAATTTTAATGCCCTTTCAAACGATATATCGTTTAGGTCTATTTGTTTTGAAATAATTGACAATATTAGCAATTTTTCATAACCATGTCTGGATTTGCAAAAATTCCCACATATTCAAAATTGAGTTTTCTTTTGGAAATTTTGTCTCTGTTGAATAAACAATAGGATTGATATTAAAGTTGTTTCCGGCTAATTTCAACCTGTTTTATCGATAGTGAAAATCAAGAAAAAGTGGAAAATAAAAATTTACTCACTTTTTCTAACTTTTTGAATTCTTTTCTTAAAATCTTTGAGCTTGTGTATCTCGGTACCCATTTGTTACATTGAGATGTACCTTCTCACTAAAACTATGACATTTCAAATTTTTTTTGTCAAGATTTTGTATCCTAATATCCTTTCAAAATTTTCCAAAATCTAAATCATAAGGTAGGTAATGTCTGCCCAGCGAGCCTGTGTCTACGGGGCAACAGTAAGGGGAATGCACTTGTAAAAAAAATGGCTGATTTCATTCATAAAATACCCAGCTGCGTGCGGAACTTTTTGAAAGTGTTATCGTATTGCAACTCGTACACGAAAATCAGCAATGACCAAATCTCCGCCACTGGATATGTCAATATAAATCGATATTCCAAGATGGGAGGATAGAATGACGTGAGCCCTGGCCAATAGCGAGACGTAAGGTGACGTTAGCTCATTGACAACCGTATGATTCCCCATGACAACGGCGATCCTGCCAAAAACTCCACCAATCAGGTTCATCCAGGACGGATGCTTGCCAAATTGACAAAAGCTGATGGTATCTTTAGAAAATGTTTATTTTTTACAAAAGACCAAACTGAAAAAATCAGGATTAAAATAAGAATAGGTCTAACAACCACGTTAAAATATTTAGCGTTTTATTATTGTTATCAATATTTTGTTATCAAAAAATTGATTTTCAAATTAACTATACTTCATGCCTAGCATTTTCGCTTTTTTATAATTAAACGTGGCAACATGGGACATTTACGTCCGAATTCCTTCCGTAGACTCAGATCCACTGGGCAAACAATACAGGGTATTTGATTATATTTGTAATTGTAAATACAAAACTTGACAGTTTTTTTCTATATTTTCTTTTAACGTTATCAGAAAAAACAAAATCGCATCGGAAAATGGAGAAACGTAGACAACTTCGACTGTTTTAAATGGAACACCCTGTATATTTTGCGATAAAATGAAAGACCTTTTCTTCCTGATTACAAATATATATATGTTGATTATATTTGCATGAGCCATTTTTGACATATCTCAGCTCAAATTATAACTAAATTGCAAAGAAATTTTATAAAGATAGAGATCCTTATGGAACTTCTCTGCAAATTCTTTATAATTCAACCTGAGATATGTCAAAAATTGCTCAAGCAAATGTTATCAATATATATATATATATATATATATATATTTGGAATCAGAAAGAATAGATCTTTCATTTTATCGCATAATATACAGGGTGGTCCATTAAAAAAGTCAAAGTTGCTTACGTTTCTCCATTTTCCGATGCGATTTTGTTTTTTCTGATAACGTTATCAGAAAATACAGGAAAAAACTGTCAAGTTTTGTATTTAATTTTTTTTTTCTATCTTAAATAGTAAAGGCTGTAGGTATGGTGCCAAATATAATCAAATACCCTGTACCTTCTTACTTAAACGATCAAATTTCAAATTTTTTTTTGTCAAGATTTTGTATCCTAATGGTCAATCAACATACCCCAAACTCCATACACTGAATTATTCTCAGATTTGAAGCCGAAATCTATGAAAAATAGCACTCAGAAAAATTGATAAATCACCCCAAATTGCTTAACACGATTTTATCTCAGGAACTATAAGTGCAAATGAGCTGAAATTTTCAGGGATTGTAGTCCCTTGATTGGGATAAAATTTAGTGAAAGTTTCAGCTTTCTATCTATAATAGAAAAAAGTTATGCCCTTTCAAAGTTTTCCAAAATCTAAATCATAAGGCCTACACTATACTTTATAACTCGTGGCTCTAACAGTAGACATACTATTCCATTTACCATCTTGACGTGATTAGGCGAACCAGACTAATGTGCCTGCTATTTTCTTAAGATTTTTACCTGCATTTTGTAGATAGTTGTTTGTATGTCTAATGGGCATTTTTTCTTATATTGTATTTTTTGTGTATATTTAGTGTACCAACCTATTTTATAAAGATATATTTCAATTATTACCTTCAATATTGTGCAGTGACGAAACATAATGATCCACGGCTTCAAATTTATCAACATTGCATATAGATTGAAAATCTGACGCCACTTGATAACAGTAAACATAGGTTTTTTTCCTATTCATTTCGTTTCCAGTAAAATGCCAGCTCACCACGATTTTTGGTGAAGATTTGACAATGGAATATTGAATATCATCTGCAAATCTAAAAATGTTTTTTTTTTTAGTAAAATATCCAAAATTAGATGCCCAAAATTAACATACCCATTAATATTTCCAAGTTGCAACACCTTTTTCACCAATCCGTTATATTGTTTCATCCAAAAATAGACTACAGCGTAAACATTTGTGACGGGAACTTCTTGCTGATAGTTCTCGTGCTCTTTGGTCCACAGTTCGATGTACGCCAAACTGAAATAGCTGCAGGCGACCATTTCCAAGGATTCTTTGAGGGTGCAATTGTTGGGCATCGGTTGCCTTTGGATGCTGCCTTTGCTCGTCCACATATCCTGAGCGCCTGAATTATACACATTAATAATTATAATAAATATTTTAACTGCTAGAAATTTTCAAATTCAATCGTGTTCTGATTCAGAATGATTGTTTTTCTACTCCGTAGTACGTGTGTAATGTACAACAACTACAGAAATTTTGGAAAATATCGAGGAAAAAATTAACTTTGAATAATTATTTGCCCCTTAATTAAATATTATGAAGAAACCAAGAAAATAACGTACCTAAAACGTTTCCAGGTGCTGACTGATACCAAAACGACACCAACAACTCCTGACAAAGTACCAAATCAAAATCCACATAAAAAATCTTCAATATTGGACCTTGCCCCGTATTTACAGTGATTGAATTTTGATTTTCCAGTTGCTTTTTAGTGTTGATCCATTTCGCGTCTTCTGTTTGCTGTTTGGCGTAATCAGTAAACTGGTCAGATGCTGGAGGTGAACTTGACTTTTCAGATAATTCTTCTTCCGAGTCTTCATCAGAAGTTTTTTGAATGTTGAGAATTTGTGAGTGAAATTCATGTTGTACTTCCGGGTCTGTTTGTATAGCGCTGTCGTGCCTCTCCAAAGATTTATTTGCCGTTGAAGGCGGATCAGATTCGTGAATACAAATCTTTTTTATTGTTAAGTTTGAGTTTTTTCTAGTCCAGTTTTTCAATTGTGATCCAAATGAAGTTTCAGGTTCAACCTCAGAACAACTGCTTTCCGACAAATATATTTCCGCAGGATTTTCTGGTTTTTTTAACAAGTTTATGTGTTCTTGTATAGCATTGGTTCCAATGTCAAAATCTTTCTCATTTATTGCTGAATTATTCTTCTTTCTTTTTGCTTGCCTGGGTTTAGGGGCAGATTTTGTTGAAGTATTGGAATTAGTGTTTCTTCCTCTTTTGGCAGAAGAAAGTCTTATTTTGAAGCCTGGACCTTTCACCTTAGATGCTTGTTTTGAATTGTTTGCCTTTCTCTTTCCTACTTTTGCTGGTTGATTAATCAAAGCCTGATTATTTGTCTTAGCAGTTTGTGTTATATCCTTAATTTCATTGTTATTGATTATAGGCTCCATGGACCGAGTTTTAATGTTGATTAAATCATTTTCTTCAATTTCTTTGGCTTTTCCATTTAAACCATTTTTATTCTGAGCACCATTAAGCCTTTTATTACTCTTGGCCCTCCTATTAGATTTACTTTTAATAACGGAATCTATTAATGCATCAACTGAATTTCTTTTTGTCATGGCAGAACTTCCAGATTCACTTTTACCAACTGAATTTCTTTTCTTCGTGGCCAAACTTCCCGATTCACTTTTAACAACTGAATTTCTTTTAATTGCAGGTCCTCTGGATTTACTTCTATTCTCATTTGAATCAAATAGTTCTTCTTCTGTTCTAGCTGGAATATTTGTTTCCTTTTCTGCCTCTGAGAATTCAGCTGACATTAAATCTTCTACAGAAACATTTGATTTCCGTTTTACTGCAGTTCTCTTTGGTTTTCTATTTGCCAACTCTTTGAACCAATTTTCTTCTGCAATTCCATCAAAATCAATAACATCAATTTTGTCAGGCGGTTTAGGAAAACTGTATGTATAAGGGGCTTTATGCTCTAGTAATTTCTCTTCAGATTTATTAATTGAATCATTTTCTTGATCAGAAATCAATGTTCTTGATTTTTTCTCCAGCTCCTGCTGGGACAAATTCTTAATTCTCTTCGAATGTCTATTTTGTACAATAATAACGCTTTTTTTCTTATCAGTAGGCTTCATTAGTTGCAAATACTTACAAAACTCCTTTTTATTCTCATTTTCAGGACTTGGCAATACAATGTCGCAATTGTCGAGGTCCTGTTCGATTATATTAGAAAATTTGCGTCGCCTTGTTCCAGGACTCAAGTCCATGAAAATTTTATTTACCGAGATTTCAGAAATAGAATCCGAGATGGTGTAATACTGTTCCAGTTCGTCTTTGTCCTTTAGGAAATAGGTATTTGAAATTAAGTTGTAAGGAGGATCGTTTTCGTTGTCGAATCCAGGAAAATCTGGGCTGCTTCTGTTGCTGTCTACTTCTATGGTGCTCATCCAGCTATTCACTTTGATCAAGGTAGGAGGTGTGCGAGCGGAGTCCCTACTATCAGTAGTGCCGGTTTTCTTCCTATCGGGCACTTTCTTTTTTTTGGTTGATCTCCCCATGGCTCCGCTTACACTGGTCGAAGGAGTATCCATTAATTTACGTTCATACTTAGTTTAGAAGATCTAAGATTCATTGCCTCGACTAGAAAAAGACTCTTGTGTTATTTTAATTATAACAAGACTATTATTAGCTTTATTTAGGTACTAAAAGCAAAGATTAGCTAGCTTAAAATTACCTGAGTGATATGCTTTAAGCCTTGTGTCCGCCACTTACATAAAACACAGAATTTATAAATAAATCACATAAAAATTATTAGCTGTTTATATTTTTATTTGATTATTTTGCTAAACCGACATTCCGACATTTTGTAAGCAGTTTGTCAACTGTCAAGTGAAAAAAATGTCAGGGACAAAAGTCAATCTTTCAATGTTGCCACATTTAATTTGAAACTGTTCCAACCGGAACTGTTCTAGATTGTTTTGTAAGTAAAGTAAAAGGATCTTGTTAATTCCCTAAAAACCGATAGAACAGCCGTTTTCACGCATCTACTTTTTTGCCATTGGTTCAAAACAGGTTTGAAACGGGCAATGGTTTTTCCTTGACTATTTTAAGCCGGTTTTGAACCAATGCCAAAAAAGTGGACGCGAGAAAATGGCTCTAGAACATAATCGATTGGGAACGAATTCTAATTGAACCGGGAACCTAGATTGTAGCCAAAAAGTATTCCCACTCAGATCAGAATCCACCGCCTAAACTGTTAGGTTTGTTCGCGGATCTTAATCCGAACAGGTTTGGAACTAATTCAGGATTAATGTAGAGCGCATGCCTGTCTCGAAGGCGCGGTTGTACAGTCCAAGTTCAAATACTCGTCGGTTTTACTGTTCAACCGGGCGGAAGTTTTTTTTAAATCTGTAGAACCGGCAGAACTAGCTCAGAATTGATCCAGAACCAATTCTAGTTGAACCACGAACAGAAAACTAACTCAAATGAGTTCTTGGACTGTAAAGCCGGGCATAATTTGCAAATAGTTCCTGAATTCTAACCACAAACCAAGAACACTACCCAATAGGACTGCTTATTGAGCTTGAAATTTCTGCCATTTCAGGTCTTAAAATCGAGAAAAAAGCAAACACAATCTGAATCGCAAGCATCCAATAAAGGCCTGCGAGTGACGTCACCACTATAAGCTGCTATGTTAAGCTGCTAAAGTTTTTTTTTTTTTTAAAGATAATTCCCCAAGTCAAAAATTTAGTAACTATGTTGGCAACACAAGCCTTTTCTACATAAAAAATTGAAAGCATTGACAATTTTACATTGTATTGCCAACATAATGTCATTTTGACTTTTATCTTTAAAAAAAAAAAACGAACTTTATGCTAATAGAGGTGAGTTCGGAATGATAGAAAGTGTCGACACTTTTTACACCAGTGACACTGTGGCGTTCGTTAATTGGTAGGAGTGCTTGGTGTACACTTTATTTGCGTTTGGCAATAATTTGGTGTCCGAATGGTGTGAAGATGGTGGGACACCGTTTAAGCCGGAGTCTCATGCATCCGTTTTCCAACGAAAGATGTCCGAAAAACCTTCTATTCTGACATAATCGTATGAAAATATGTCAAAATAGAAAATTTTTCGGACATTTTTCGTCGGAAAACGGATGCATAAGACTCCGGCCTTACTCGGTACAAATTGAAGGTGTATTCGGTGTTACACCGCCGATTACACCTTCATCACGCAATATAACTCTGCACTACAGGCACACCGCACTAGCACTGAACTAAAATCCCATTCCGAACTCAACTTAGGTAATAGGTCTGTTTCTGAGGAAATCACATATCAGTCAGAGCGAATTTCAACAGCCAGGAAACTAGTTTCAACCAATGAAATTCACTCTGACTAGTTTGTGATTTCTGCAGAAACAGATCCGCGAAAAGTAGTGACGTCACTCGCAGGCCCTGTCGACGAGAATTGGCGAACATACGCCTCATGAGGATGAGGAATCCTGTTAGTTTACGATTCTTGTCTTGACCGCAAACTATGATCTAGCTTTACTCGCAAAACACACTCCGAACAGTTATGGAAATAATTGTGAATTCAGAGATGGACTACTTCTTCAATTTAATTCAGGATTGTTGTAGAGACCATGCGCAACAACACACCCAATAGGACTGCTCATTGAGCTGAAAGTATGCAAACGAAAATATTTATTCAACGAATAGTTCTGAATCAGTTTGGTGGAAAGGCCATAGAACCAATAGAACTAGTTCAGAATCGATTTGGAACCGATCCTAGTTGAACCTTAAACAAAGAATTATAATATCTTAGCTTTGTTCGCAGATTACATTCCAGATAATCGATCCAGAGCCAATTCTAGTTGAACCGCGAGCAAAGATCTGTAACTAAACATTTAGTGATCTGCCAAGGACATAATTTGAACTGAACATGTTAATTCCCATTCATCAATCCTCACCGCAAGTGAACGACCACAATAGTTGTATTCTTTTCACAACTAGGAGGAGCTACGGAACAGCTCCGGGGCTTCACGCGCTTATTCCTTTCGAAAACTGTTTGTTGCACCACGCAGGCTGTTCTCTGCAAATCTTAGCCGCTTTCCAGTATATACATTGGCGCGCTCCAGAGCACCTCGGGGGCGCCACGCACTAGATTTGTACCGTTCCAGTATCATGACGTGAGACGCCTGTCTTAGTGTCAAATATGTCAAATTTTAAAAATAATTATCTGTTTGTTTTGTTTGTGCAGTTTGTTTTTTTATTTATCATAATGAAAGAGAATCAAAACTATATTTTTTAAAATGTTCAATCTTGAGATACAACAAGAAATAAATAAATAAATAGCCACCACGTATGTGACAGCTGACAGGTTGACGCGTACGTACAGCTCGGGGGCTCAACGCCCCGAGTAGCTCCGGGCGTCAAACTCCCATACTGGAAAGCGGCTGGGGCGACTAAGCACCAGAGCGAGTAGCTCGAGTGTTTCAAGATCTTGAAGGAATACAACTATTACGAACTGATTCCGAACAGCTTTTGAACTAGTTCAGGATTGTTGTAAAGAACCCAATAGAGAACCATGCCTATACAGCGTGGGCAAAAAGAATGGAACACGAGGGCTCGACAAAACTATTTGTTTTTTGAAAAATCGCAGGGACCCGTCAATACACAACTAATAGCAAGTCACTCCGATTGCGTAACTCCAGCATCAACTTTGTTATTTCAAATGACAATACTGTATATCATTGCATTTTTGGATTTTACGAAAAATTATGGAAATATTAGCCGCTCTCCAGCTGCTGTGGTCAGCTGGAAAGCGGCTATTTTTTGTAGGTATATAATTCAACGATAATACACAGTACTAAGGATGGCTTATCGGCCTTTTGGTAATCGCCGCCATATTGGTGTATCACCATTGCCGACGTCATTAACAGAATCGGTTGTTTGCGCCAGTGGTTGTGCAAATAAGTAGATGCAAAAGCGAGATCTAAAAAGTAGTTGTTTTAGAATGTTAATTAATGTAGAAAACCAAGTATGCATAAAGCAAAAGCCCGCGGAATCGTAACCTATGGTGCAAACAGCCCAAGGATGATAAACACTACTACTACAGAGTACATGATGAGGATAGCCTATCCTCGAAAGGCCTGTGTGTAACAAATCCTCCCCTTCTCCCCCACTCCAAAATACCAATTGTGACGTAGCATCATGTTATTTCTCGCCTTGTCGTATGCTGTTTAAACAGCTGAGGGGGAACTCTGTAACGAATAGAGATATTTTCTTTATCTCTATTGACGTCTTTTCTCTATTGAATTCGACAAGAAAGAAGAAGACAGCAAGTGCCATAGCGATAGGGATAACGATCCTCATCCGTTACAGAGTTCCAGTCCTGACAACTTAGCGCCCCGGAACTGTTCCGGAGCTCCTCCTAAGTGTGAAAGGAATACAACTATATCTGCATGATGGGAGGTACAGAATTCCGAGCTTCGTTCACTGTTCCGGGGCTTCACGCGCTTATTCCTTTCGAAAAGTGTTTGTTGCACCACGCATCTGTTCCCTGCAAATCGGGGGCGACTAAACACCGGAGCGAGTAGCTCGAGTGTTTCAAACTCTTGAAAGGAATACAACTTATGACAATGCACATTACTCGAACTCTTGGTTATTGGAACATCCCTGGAACCGGCAAACTTGTTCAGAATCGATCCGGAACCGATTCTATTTGAACCACGAACAAAGAATTGTTATTTAAAAATTTGAACTACTTATTTATCAAGATTCCAGGAAGAATAATTGGAGCTACTTTTGCTTATTACTATACAATGTTTTGAAAAAACTGTTTTGGCGCCAAAACAGGTTAAATTTCAAATTGCATTCCAACGTTGCCAAAATTCTTTGCGGGTTATATTTTCAAATTTTTTCCCGCTCTCTTACAATATTTAAATTCAAATTATTCTGAACTCTTATCTTATTTTATATTAATTGTCTTGTCTTTTCATATCTAATTATCTTATTTAAGTTTTTTCTTTTTACAACTGTTAGATTTAGGTTATGTTAATTTAAATGAAGCAAAGTCCAACAAAATAGTAGTTATTGCAAAATAAAAATGTTGAAGACAATGCAATATCGTTGCAAAACCCTTCTATTTAATCCTCCTATCAAAGTAAGTCGATATCCTGTAAAATCATACTCTTTTAATCCCAAAATTCCAGAAGGCAGTTGAAAGATTCATGTCAGATTACCAGTTTATCAAGACCGATTTTGCCAATGAAGTTAAGAACATTGTAATGTGTGACCCAAAAACTAGGTAGAAAGATTTAAAAGTTCCTATTTATTCATACATAATTGAAAAATGATAAATTATAGAAATGCCTTGAGTGCCTCAATGATGGAAGGCTTACTAAATGCTATAGTTGAAGTCAAAGAGAATCCTGAAATACGCGTTGTAGTAATTTCAGGCGAAGGCCCTGCTTTTTCAGGAGGCCACAATTTGAAAGAAATAGTAAAATATTTATCATATTATTTCAATATTACTACATAATCCTTTTAAGGCTGACAATGTAGAAATACAAAACAAAGTCTTCCAAACAGCCTCCAATCTAATGATGTCCATAATTGACTGTCCGGTACCCGTAATAGCAAAAATCGATGGTATGGCCATTGCGGCTGGTTGCCAGTTGGTTGCCCAATGCGACATTGCAATAGCTTCAGATAAAAGCACCTTTTCAACACCAGGGTAATAATTAAGAAAAATCAACCCAAATTACTAATAATCATTTTTCTTTAATTTAAGTGCAAACTTTGGTATTTTCTGCTCGACTCCCGGAATAGCATTATCCAGATGTGTAAGCAAAATGCCTAGCTTATACATGCTCCTTACCGGACTTCCCGTAAAGGCGCAAGAAGCCAAAGAAATAGGCCTGATTACAAAGGTTTGTCCCAGCGAAAAACTGGACGAAGAAGTCGATTTTGTTTGTAATGCTATTAAAGCGAAAAGCAGGGACGTTGTAGAGCTGGGCAAAAGGTTTTATAACGAACAAATTTGCCACGATGTTAAAACCGCTTATAAGTTAGGGGCCGATAAAATGGTTGAAAATCTTCAGATGGGCGATTGTAAAGAAGGAATCAGGAGTTTTATTGAGAAAAGGAAACCTAATTGGGGTATGGGTTGTGATACTAAACAAATAAATAAATAATAAATAATAAAAAATATTTTTATTTTTATTAAACTTTAATAAAACTATACAGGATGTTCCTAAATATCATGTACAAATAGAGGGGAGTGATTCTTTGGTTTATTTTATGAATAAAATTTCTAATAAACATAGGTCCGTCCGCAAACGCTTCGTTACCCATCTACAGGGTGCTGAAAAAAAGCAAGAATATGGCGGCGAGGGATGTCTTACTTCTAGATTCCTATTGACCTTGCGTTCGATATTTTGCTCAAAGTGTAGAGCGAGCTGAGCGGAGCCGTAATCACGTGACCAGCGAGCGAACGGAGCAGTTGAACGCCGTATAAAAGTACCGGAAATTTTAATAAACGAACGCGAATGAGGCTGCACCGAGTACACTTTTTAAATAAACAAACGGTAAAGTCAAGCTCGGAGAACTCAGACCAAAATAACGAACGCACGGTGAATATGAGCAAGTATATGGTTGCGGAACCTCTATTGTCGCCACTGTAGGTAGAAAAGGTTTCTTGAGTCACTTCCGTTTCACCTAGTTAATTACAGAGATTTGTTTTTCAATTTTTTCCTCGATAAGGGTCAGTGATATGAAAAAGCTACAAGAGAACAAAAAGTTTCTAAATAAGGTAGAAAAATTATTTTGCATCTTAGAATCGACCAGCGGCGCACCGTGAAAAAGGTCAGGGGCAGAAAAGGTGGCATGACTCATGAAAAAACATCACCCTGTAGATTTTGGCAAACGTTTGACATGTTGGATCATCGAGCTCCTATTGTGTAACCTCCATTTTAAATTTGAGCTAAATCCCTCAAAAATTACAGGAGCTATAAAAAAAAAACTAAGAAAATATTGAAATTTCAACACCCTGTAGATTGGTAATGAAGCGTTTGCGGACCTATGTTTATTAGAAATTTTAGTCACAAAATAAACCAAAGAATCACTCCCTTCCGTTTGTACATGATATTTAGGAACACCCTGTATACACTGTTGCCATATTTAAGTAGCTTTAGATTCAATAGTTTAAACTGCAGATGAATTAGCACGGCCCTGTGGCGCAACGGATAACGCGTCTGACTACGGATCAGAAGATTCCAGGTTCGAATCCTGGCAGGGTCGAGTAACTTTTTTTTTGCTCAGAAGGGCTATTTTATTATAAATGGTTGGCATTTCAAATTTTTGTAGTTTGAAGTATTTCACTAGATTAGGAATCGCTGAAAAATTCAAATTCCTATGACTTTTCAGAGTTTTCCTGAAATTTTTGAAAATGGTTCCAACTTTGCAATGGCGGCGATCATAAGCGGATATAAGCGATGCTTAGGGGCCCGGGCACGAAGGGGACCCGAAAAGGCCCCCTTTAAGTACTGATGTAACTTAAAGGAAATGATGACAACTGTCTAAAAAACTAGTCAGTACAAAACACAAATATAGCACTGGTGGCTCACTTCAAATTATTTTCTACACCCTCCCATCCCTATTTGAAATAAGTCCTTCTGTGGTCCTTGGTTTCTGACACAATTTTTTTTTTTATTACATTTTACTCTGTCCAATGCTTTTGTAAGAGAATCAGCTAACATCTTCTGAGTTAGCACTTTTTCTTTCAAGAAATTATGACGAACATCTATATGCTTCGTTCTGGATTGAGAACCCCCATTTAGTGCCAATTTCTGTGCTGCTTGGTTATTCACATATAACAATGTTGGTTTTTCAGTGCAATTAAAATCTTTACTGAGACCTCTCAACCATATAGCCTCTTGTGCTGCCATTGTCATATTTAGCCTCTGTTGTAGACAACGCCACAATAGGATGTTTTTTACTGATATCGGTGAGCCATTATTCATAAAAATGTAGCCTTTAATAGATTTTTGATCAGATGGGTCATTTGCCCAGTCAGCATATCACAATAACCATAAATGTTTGAATTTTTGCCTTTAACTCCATTTAATTTCAGCCTGTATAGTTTAATGTACTCCTTAAATAACGGAGGATACGCTTAACTGCTGACCAATGTGCAGGTCCTGGTTAATGATTAAAAACGACTGACACTACTGACTGCGTAACACATATCAAGGTACCGTCTAGAGATTTGTGCTGCGAATAGCAAACTTCCCATACCTTCTTGATAACGTTTGCTTTTCATTATTTCAATCTCCTCTTCTGTCTTTGGAGATTGTTCTTGGGTTAGCTTTTCTCCAGCTACCATAATAGTGTATCTACCGGGTTTGCATTTTTCATGTTGAACCTCGATCCTGAGTAGTTTTTCAATATAAAAGCTTTTTGATCAATCCATATTTTTCTTAGTTTTCTGTCCCTTATTGTTATCTGCATACCCAGTATATGCTTGACTTCTCCAATATCTTTCATTTTGAAATTTCTGAGCAGTTGATTTTTCAGTTCTTCTTTTGCCTTTTGGTCATTTGACAAAAGAATAATATCATCCCACATAAATTACAACTATTAGCTTTACTTTTTCATTAATTTTATAATATATACAAGAATCAACTTCTCTAGAAAACACGAGTATTTAACCAAAGCTCCGGTTTCGAGCTTGTTATGCTCTCGTCGAAGCACGGCAACTGAGAGAAACAGGTTCCAAGGTGATTCAAATGCGAGGCAAGCAGGGTTGGACGAACTTTTGGAAGTGGACCGGGAAATTTCAGTCTAGCGGCCCATACATTGATCACAATAATCACTTTGTAGTATAACATACCCAGGTTCGCTCAGTAAGATTGAAGGATGAGAATTTTTATTACCTTTTAAACAACAAATCTTCTGAAAAATGAAATGAAAAACAAATAGGACCTACGTTGTGGAAACTTACTCAATTTAACTTACTGGACATGCGCCCGACATAGCAAATATTTGGGAAATTTAAGGGAAGCTGTGATACGTAAAAGAAACGAAAAATTTGTGAAACGCCTCCTTTATTATCAAAGAAAAACGTACCGTTCTCGACCTAGAATTCTCGAGGGAAAAGAGAACGGCAGAGAAAACCTCGATCGAACATTCCCCAAAAATCGAAACATACTGTGTCATTTTAATAATAATTTTGAGTCATTAATTCAATAATATAAGTCAATAAAAGTTTAAATTAGGTACCATCCTTTATTATTGTGCTAAAATTTCAATTACACACACTACATTCAATCAACACTACCTATATTCCAAACTGAAGAGTTTTTGGTTAGTTAGCCAGTTTCCCAGCGGGTACTGAGGTCCCATACGGGAAGCTACTCAGCTATAGTTGTTTTTGAGCCAATATCTCTAGATTGATTATTTCAATTTGTTAGGATATTCTCTCGTCAGGGTAGGAAAATGTTAGTAAATTCAGCAAGGCTCTAATGCACGCTCTGAATCCAAAAATCAAAATCCCAGCACAAAAAGACAGCACATAATTTCTTAGGTTCTAATTTACTTCTTTATCTGTGTTTTTTACAGCATGAAACGATTTTGGTTAAATACATAAACAATGCACATGTTATAAAAAATGTTATAAATAAACAAAAATACATAAAAATTGGAAAAAAAATAATACTTGCGTAAATTGAACTCTTAAAAACAAAATAACATTAAATCCACTAACCTGTGAACTCTCCTTACACACACACTAATCACAAATTGGATTGAACAATCAATTTTAATGCAAAATAGAAATGAAAATTGAATAATGAATAATTACAGACACGCAACACGTTTTCTAAGGGACCAGGCCAGCGCGTTCTGTCGTCTAGTTGCGTATTCCTTATCTACCCTTCGCTTCGGTACCTTCGTTTTTATGTGGCGCGCTCCGTTCAAACCTAAACTTGATGGCGCAGACATGGTTGCAACATTTAGTTTTATTCAGTAAACATTTTTTAAAAAAGTTAAGATTTGAAGAAATAATATTTTAAATAGGTGGTTTTCCTCAACTTCTAGATGTGATCTAATAATATTTAAGTTCATTATTCGCTTCGATTTTTCATGTATTTAAGTGTTGAAAACTGGAAAGCATTTTTCGCACCCTACTTGTGTGCATGCTAAAGTGAGGACATACTGGTAGATCCTAAAGATGACTGTTAACACGGATGTAGAGAATCAGAATCTGTATATTTATACTTTTAAAAAACCAAACATTGTTTGCAGTGTAAATATGAAGAACATTTTTTCTAGTATCATCTTCATCGTTAAATTCAGGAAGGTCGTACAGCTCCGGAGTTCCGTCCTTTTCATGTCACCCAACTAATTTTATTCAAATCCACTGGCATTAGTTTGGAAAAATTGTTTGGATCCAAATATGAAAAATCAACACAAATATCTCTATGTTTGGGAAAAGATGCCTCTATTTTTCTTATGATACGATCCATGGCCACATCGTGTACTTCCAACTACTTCCACCTCAAATTTAAAAATTGACATTCATTTTCAGCACTTTTCAATACTTCTTTCATGTTGTATTGGTCCTTTTTCAGTGCGTCACAAGTTGAATTGACCATTCTTCGTGCTTTCATAAGATATGTTCTCACAGAAATCAAAAACCAGTCAGAGCCAATTCCATTGGTGGAAAATAGTCAGAAAACTGTTTGTTGGCAATTTGCACCAATCAAAAACGTTCGAGCAAAAATGAACTGACCTCATTAGGTCTGTTTCTACTGGAATCACAAACCAGTCAGAACGTTTTTGATTGGTCCAAATCGGCAACAACCAGTTTCCTGACTATTTTCAACCAATGAAAGTCGCTCTGACTGGTTTGTAATTTCTATGAAAACAGACTTATTGTGTCCGTTTGAAGGTATCTTAAAGGTTCTGTTCTAAAGATCGGCCCACAATCCGATCGGCCCACCGGGGATTTCCCGGTATCCCGGTGGGTTCATCCAACCCTGGAGGCAAGATGTAGATCTTTAATAGCGCGTCGCTCCCTCTCTTGGAAGTCATACAAAGCAAAAGAAAAAGCATATACCTATAATATTCTTAGTAGGTTCTAGGTAGAGCATTATTGCTCAATTGTATAATTAAGATTTTTGAGTAGGTACTTTAGATAATTAGGTGAACAATATGAAAATATTCTTATCATGGTTACCTACCTACATAAACTTCTCAGCACAACTTGGTAGGTATATTCTTAATACTTAATAGAGATATTAGCTTAAAGAACATTTTTTAGGGTACATTATAATAATGTTCGTATGAGAATATTCAAAGAATGTTATACTTATAAAGTAGGTTCTTAGCACAATCTTTCAGGTAGGTGCATAGAAGCAACATTCCTAGTACATAAATAGAACGTTTAAAAATGAATATTTCAATTGAAACAATCTTAGAATATTTATTGAACATTCCAAAAGAACATTCCAAAAAGTACTTTGACGGAATATTCTGAGAATCAGAATATGAATGTTCTTTCACTGTTATGTGGGTGGGATGGCCTTAATCAAGAAACAAGTAGTAATCGAGAATCGAGAGACTTGTGTCCAGAAAGTCAGAACTACGGCGTGAAAGAGTTTTCGAATTAACCGAGAGAAGAAGCACGACGTGAAATAACAGCGCGAAAATATTCGAGTTTTATTAAATGTTCATAAGTAAAGTAAAATCCTTTGACCAATAAGAATTCCATGTAATTAGGTGTGACCAGCAGTAAATATATTATTGTTAAATGTAAGTATAGAGTGAATCCCAGCCAATAGCGAGGGACAGTCAATTACCTACATTGTGTAGGAGGTTATACAAGACCTTAACACCCAGTATTTTTCTTCTAACTGAAAGCGATTCTATATTGAATCGATGTAAATACTGGCAATGTTCAATGCCTTTGGGAGGATATGACCCATCTGATCTGAATGTTACATACTTTAAAAATTTTCTTTGAACATTTTCCATTGTGTTAACGTGGCGCTCGTGAATAGGGTTCCAGATCACTGCACCTTATCTCGCAGATAGTTACTAGCAAGTTTATCTGTAGATAAATAAACCGAGCCTTGGTAAATAAAAAGTATTGAAAAATTACCTGAGAAAATCTATAAGTCAGCATAGACTGCATGATCTTTCTATTTTGCCCATTAGCACAGCATCCTATATGGATATTCGGTATTTAGTTGCTGCAAAAAATTATCCAATAAAGATAAAGGAGCCATCATAGATAATCAAAATTTGAACTATTACCGGCTCTTGATTCTCTGGAAAACTTTCCTAGAGCCAATCAAGAGCCGGTAATAGTCAAAATTTGAATTTTTATCAACTTTGGATTCGCTAGAAAATTTCCAAGCGCCGCAACTTGAACTTTTGTTTACATTCCCCTTAAAATTTCCTTATTATTACTCTCAAATAAATTAAATTATCCAGAAAACTACATTTTCATGTGAGAGGAAAATTCCAGAATTCACAACAAAATCTTTTAAACAATAAAAAATCTTTTTAATAAGTAAGGTAACAAAAATCCTAAAAATAACATTTTTTTTTTTCAATTTTTTGAACTTTAGAGGCTGATTGCTTAAAAAACAAAAACTCCTCTAAACTTTCCTTTTACATTTGTCCATAATTACACTGGAAATCTGAAATCTGTATCTCTCAAATTCTCTTCTATCCACTGGTTAGCTTCTTCGTCCATTTCCTGATCGAAATAATTCTTCCATCCACCATTTTTACCTTTTCGAACAAAACCTTCTTCACTTTTCAAAATGATACCCAAACTTTCCATCACATCGAAATTGACTGATTTATTGTTACGGAAATTTTCAATTTTCAAATGATTTTCCAGTTTGTCTAGTTGCTCGTTTGTGTAGGATTTACCTAGGAAACTTGCTATTTTTTCCACATTGGGTCTCAGATTCTATAAAGAAATAAGATCTTTAAGTTTAAAGAAAGTATGAGATTTTCAAATACAGTTTTTTGACATAAACACAACTACCTTGTTTAAGTTTTCGTAAAAAAGAAACAAAACGTTTTCTTCGTGCCTCATATTCCAGCCTTCTTTAATGTGGTCCCAATAAGGCGTCCAAGGTTCTAAAATTTCAATGCAATAATAGTAAATAAGTATCCAACAATAAAGTCCTTACGTAAATTATTTTTAAAGTAGCACCAATATTTAGCAAAATCTCCTGTATATCCTTGAGTCCTCATAGATCTGTTCAAATGATAAAAAGACACTGCAACGTCTTTTGGATTTCTGGCAACATAAATTACCTTTGAATAATTATTTATTAGAATAATTATAAAAAAATGCAGTTGGAAAAATAGTTACTTTGCATCCTGCTTTTACCAAATTAGGAGGCATTAGGCTGAAAGGCAAATGAGTTTTAATGAAGCGACGTTCATTGGTTTTGGCCAGAATTTTCCAAGCAGGATAAGCAACTTCTTCTACCAATTTGTACTTTTCTGGATCTGTTTGGTTTTCTTCTAAGAAATCGGCTTTGGTGTCTTGATGTACAAATGAACTAAACCTAATTTAGAAATTAATAAGTAGATTAAACTATTAGGAAATTTTCCTCCTTACTCTAAAAAAGGGAATCTTGTTACTAAAGGAATTTCAGCAGCTTTTTCATAATCCATATCGTTGCACAAAAGCCAAACCATTTCTGTAATCCAGGTGGTGCCGGATCTTGGAAAAGTGGCTACTATAACGTCATCAGGTCTTAATTCAAAATTATAATAGTTTTCAGCTTCTTTTGCGTAGCCGCTAGGGAAGAACCATTTTTTCGGGCCAACTTGAACAAATCCAGTGCGTTCTCCTGAAAAGTCTTTCAAAATTTGCTCGTTCAATTCTGGATCGATGGTTTTGATTTCGTATGGAAATGGCAGTCGATCGTCAAAGTCTTGCTTTTCTTTTTTTTTTGGTTCCAGCTGGGGTGTGATTAGTTGGTTCTTATAATAGAATGTCATTGTAGAGTAGTTGTGTTAAAAATTCCTTAAAAAAAAAAAATGCTTGTCTGTGATGGTTGTTGAATATTTGTCGTAACAAATATTGAACAGTCATTACACCAGGATGACAATTTTCTTTATGTAGCTGTTCAATCAATAATTTTGTAAGACGATAATCCCGTGCTAAAAGAAGGGGATGTTTAGCTTCAAAAGAAAGTTCAGAATGTCATAATCTTCCGCCCACCCTGATGACAAAACCAGTCTCATCAAGGAAAAGAGCAAGTTTACGGTAAGGTTTAGGTAAAAGCTGATTGTTTTGCAATTGCAAAATTAAATCCTGAAAACTTTGTTGCTAAGCCCGTTTGACCAAAACCAAACCAACAATGATTTATACAAATCCAAAGACGTAAAACCGTAAGAGAAATGGTTGCGATTCAAAAACTTAAATCATATAACAAAGAATTCTCTGAACTTTAGCTAAACTTGAGTGTTTATTTAACAATTCATTCACGATAGGCACCTCCATAGTTGCCATTTATCTCAGGAACTATAAGTCCTCTACTGGAATAAGAATCGCTGAAAATTTCAGCTTTCTATCTATAATAGAAAAAAAGTTATTACCTTTCAAAGTTTTCAAAAATCTAAATCATATGGTAAATAGGTACCTTCTTACTAAATCGATGAAATTTCAAATTTTTTTTTGTCGAGAGTTATAGACATGAACCGATAGTTAAACTGCCAATACCAGGAATATATTGGACGACTCAGCATAATGATAGAATAAGCATATTTTGTTTTTTATTATTTCATGGGAGCTTTTTATATAGAATAAGTTTAGTCTTAAGTCACACACTGTACCAGTAAGTTAAGTCTTAGTAAAATAAATCTTTTTTAAATAGCATTCTACTGGTTTGAGTATTTAACTGGCGCTGCGAACAGGATAGTGTTACAAGTCTCTTTATCGTTTTTCGTTGAGATTTGGCGTATCTTTATACCTTGAGCACTATACCAAAAAGAACTTCAAATACTCCTAGCCGAATCCTTTGGCCCCTCTATTGTGAAGCATTGAGGCCATCAGACAAAGCACAGAAAGAAGAAAGAAACTCCACCGGGTGAAACTCTGGCAACTCTTCATTCTTCGAAGTGTCGCCGTGGATCCTAAGATTTCAAGTATTTTTTCTGAAATCAGTAGACTGATATCCGTGCGTGACAAGTACCGTAAATTTGAACTTTTGCTGCTAAAAGTTATTGTGTGTGTTTTTGTGATAAAACTTGATAAAAAATGCTATGGTTCATCTTGATGCCCCTTTTTATGTAAGTAATTACTAAAATTGCCATATTTTTTATATGTCTGATCCTAAACATCTTTTGAAAAACGCTTTAAGTTCAAATATAAAAAGACTAGGCTTAAAAACCAAGAAAAATAAAAAATCATTATCACTTGCTGAAAAACTAGAAACTGTTAAAAATAAATCCGATTTAAATTTGAGCGAATTATTCTCAGAGTTAGATCTTGCATCTTCTAGTACTAGCAAATCTAGTGATAATAATAAGTTGAATTTTGATACTTCATCTTCAGAGGAAGAAGAAGAGCAACTTGAATTCTTTTCTTATAATAGCCTAATTAATTCAGATAAAATGGACGTTCTGCGATCTTTTGCAACCATTTTACCTACCTTTCCTGGAAATCCAGAACACTTTATTTTGTCAATTGACGAATTTCATAGTCTATATTATAATGGCGAAGAAATTCAGAAAAAAATTGTTTTTAGTGTTATACGCTCTAAATTAGTTGAAAAATCTAGAGATTTTATTATGAGTAGGCCAGACCTTAAAACCTGGGCCGATATCAAAATAGCTCTTAGAGAAAAATATGGAGATCCAATAGGATACCAAACATTGAAGCAACAATTAAATTACATCAATAAAAATAAGCACGAAGAACTATTAGATTTTGTGCAAAGATTAAAATTATTTGTGCAAAGAATAAATTCTAAAATTCAAAGTGAAAACATAGACAATAATTCAAAGTTAATTTTAATAGCACAAGCTGAAAAAACTGCAGTAGTTGTTTTAATGTCTAATGTTCCAGAATCTTTGAAAACGATTTTACTTATACACAACCCTAATACTTTAGATGCTGCTCTTATACAAGTCACAAATTATAATCTCATTGAATCGCAAATAAACTTGAAAAATCAGGTTACCCAAAAACATTTCAATCAACAGCGAAAATCTATGAGTTATAATCAATCTTTCAATCAGAATTCGCAGTCATTTAACCAAAATGCTCAACAATTCAAACAGCAAAATAATTCAAAGCAAACTTTTCCTTCTCAACCCGTTCATGTACAACCTAGACCAGTAAAACAATATTTTCCCACAAACGCCCAAGTTTTTGGAAAACCTAAAAATGCATTTGCTTCCCAAAAGAATACGAATCAAAGGCAACCAAATCCTACCCCAATGTCCGTCCAGTCAGCAGGACCTTCTCGAATAAATCAACAACCACAAAATAAGCAGTATTATAATAATTATTTCCAACCTACTGGTCCTAGAAATTTTGCATCGCAAGAATTAACAAACCTTCAAACAAATCATGAACAGTCAGAGGACCAAAACTCTGAAGAATATTATGACGATTATTACTATGACGAAGACATACCCAATGTACAGGAAGAGGACACTTTTTTCAATCCCCAGCAGGAGACTCTCACTGCAGAAGACCAAAATTTTCACGAAGAAGCCTCTACCGACCCATTAACTTAAACAATATTGCTCAAAAAATCGAGTTACCTTATTTCTTTCTACCAAAAATGCAAGTTACAATTTTGATCGATTCAGGAGCCTCCGAATCAATAATTAATCCCAATATAGCTAACTTATACCCTGATTTATTATTCTATGAGCCTTTTGAAGTAACTGCATGCAAAAAGACCTACCGTGAAAACACCAATATTAACATTCCACTCTTGCAAGAAATAGGTATTAATTTACCCCTAAAAATGCGTGTTCTTAATTGGCACAACGACTTCGATGCCCTTTTAGGAACAAAGGATCTTAAAAACCTAAATGCTGTTCTAGATTATCAAAATAAGTGCTTGACACTTCAACGGAATAAAAAAGTAGTATTTTCACTTGCTTACAACAAACCTCTCTCTAAACCATCTGAAAACTTGAATAGCAATGCACTAATTATTCCAGTAAATCTCGAAAATGGAGACGCTATATTACCTTCCTTTCAGATAAATAATCAAGTTGTCATTCCTGATAGTCTAATTACAGTCAAAAACGGACTTTGTAAAATTCCGAATCCACTTCCCAGACATAACATAAAATTTGATCACAGAATGAGAGTTATACCAAAAGAGCACTTCGAAATAACTAATCCTCCAACAGACAACACCCCATTTGAAATTTCTGAACAATTACGTTTAAATCATTTAAACGATTTAGAAAAAAGCAAAATAATACCTTTAAGTCATGGACTTTTGGACAATAAAATTATTCAGCCATCTATATCTCCTTATTCTGTCCCTGTTTGGATTGTCCCAAAAAAGGCTGACGCTTTTCTGGGAAACAGAAATTTAGATTGGTCATTGATTACAGAAAACTCAATGAAGCCACTATCGAAAATAAATACCCCTTGCCAAGAATAGAAGAAATTCTGAATAATCTTGGAAAATGTATCTACTTATTTCACCACTCTCGACCTGGCTCAAGGTTTCCACCAAATTAAAATGAGCCCTGATTCCATAGAAAAAACCGCGTTTACAGTTAACAATGGTCATTTCGAATACCTCAGGATGCCCTTTGGTTTGAAGAATGCTCCAGCCACATTCCAGAGAATGATGGACGAAATTCTAAGAGAGTATCTATACAAATTTTGCTTTGTATATATAGATGACGTCGTAATTTTTTCTAAATCCCTTCCTGAACATATCGATCATATTAAAAAGATCTGCAAAACACTCCGAGAAGTCAATCTCAAAGTACAGCTGGATAAATCCGAATTTCTATCCAAAGAAGTAGGTAGCTTTTCTAGGTCACATAATCACCTCTGAAGGCATAAAACCAAATCCTTCTAAAATAGAAGCCATCCAAAGATATCCAATACCCAAATCCACCAAAGAAATCAAATCGTTCTTAGGCCTCGTTGGTTATTACAGAAGATTTATCAAAAACTTCGCCAAAACAACTTTCCCAATAACGAAGTGTCTAAGAAAGGGTCACGAGAAACATATTGGCAACCAAGAATACCAAGAAGCCTTCCTGAAGTGTAAGGAATTAATTACTAACTCCCCTGTACTCCAATACCCTGATTTTACCAAACCTTTTAAACTAACTACCGACGCCTCTAACATAGCCCTCGGCAGTGTACTTTCTCAAAACGAACATCTTATTGCATATTATTCAAGAACCTTAAATTCCGCTGAACGAAACTACTCAACCATCGAAAAAGAACTTTTGGCAATAGTCGATTCTACAAAACACTTCCGCCCCTATTTATATGGCCAAAAATTCGTTGTTGAAACCGATCACAACCCCCTTGTCTGGTTATCAAAAGTGAAGGAACCAAATTCACGCCTTATTTGTTGGAAATTGAAATTGGAAGAATTCAATTTTGAGATTAAATACAAAAAAGGCAAAGAAAATGTAGTGGCCGATGCCCTATCACGTATCGACATTAATATTTTTGAAAAAAATTTGTCAATAGCCCCCAACACTGATAACACTGTAGCAAATCTCGCCGACTTCGATCTTGCCGACTTTGCTCTAAACGAAAGATATAATGAAATCATATCCGAAACCGTAATCCCGCCTCAACCTAGAGACGATGAGCTAGATTCAAACGCCACAGTACATTCCAACAACGACACTGAAGGCAAATATCTTCCTATTTCCGAACTACCCGTAAATTACGCTTCCACGCGTCTGAATATAGATTTCGGAGATAAATTCCTACATAAATTTACAAAACCATTCAAAAAGAATCATCATCTTATTCGAATCGAAAAAGACAAACTCCCACATCGTTTCAATAAA